TGAGGTCAGGAGTTCGAGACCAGCCTGACCAACATGGTGAAACCCCGTTTCTACTAAAAATATGTGTATGAAAAAATTAGTGGGGTATGGTGGTGTGCACCTAATCCCACTACTCAGGTGGCTGAGGCAGGAAAGTAACTTGAACCCGAGAGGCGGAGGTTGCAGTGAGCTGAGATCACCCCACTGCATTCCAGTGTCGGTGACAGGGCCAAAAAATAAAAAGAAAAAACAATGTCATTCTCACCTCTTCCGAGAGTTTTATTTACTAGTGAGACTTTTTTTTTTTTGGAGACAGAGTCTTGCTCTGTCACCCAGGCTAGAGTGCAGTGGTGCGATCTTGGTTCACTGCAACCTCCACCTACTGGGTTCAAGGAATTCCCTGCCTCAGCCTCCTCAGTAGCTGGGATTACAGGAGCCCACCACCAAGCTCAGCTAATTTTTGTATTTTGGGTAGAGACAGGGTTTCCCCATCTTGGCCAGGCTGGACCGGTGGACAGTAACCGTGGGTGAGGTCTTGCTAGGCACCAAGGGGACTGCTGTGGACCACACAGACAAAAAGCCCCTTCCCTCACAGAGCTGGCATTCTGGTGGGAGACACAGAAAGTCAGCAGATATAAGTATTCCATAGAGTATATCTGGTAGTGACTCATGCTAAGAGTAAAATAAATCCGGGAGTAAGAAAAGAAAGCCCGTGGGGGTGTCACGTTGACGTGGGGGGGATCAATGCAGGCCTCCCTAAGGAAATGTTTGAATCAAAACTTGAAAGATTGCCAGGTGCAGTGGTTCATGCCTGTAATCCCAGCATGTAGGGAGGCCAAAGCAGGCAGATCACTTGAGGTCAGGAGTTTGAGACAAGCCTGGCCAACATGGCAAAATCCCATCTTCACTAAAAATACGAAAATTAGCCAGAGGTGGTGGCGTGCACCTGTAATCCCAGCTACTCAGGAGACTAAGGCAGGAGAATTGCCTGAACCCAGAAAGCGGAGGTTGAAGTGAGCTGATATCACACCACTGCACTCCAGCCTGGGTGACAGAGCAAGACTCTGTCTCTAAAAGAAAAAAAAAAAAACCTCAAAGATGAAACAGAATTGGCCATGGAATATAGCGGGTGGGGAGGGAGGGTGTTCCAGGCAGAGGGAACAGCAGGGGCAAAAGCCTTGAGGCACGAGAGTGGCCTTTGTGGGGTGGAGATTGTTGTTCCTGGATGTGTCCCCAATACCTGGATCAGCACCTGACACAATATAGTGCTCAACAAAGAGTGTGACTGGATTAAAGTCCAGGTATGGGCTTCAGGTACAGCTTGCTCAGGGCTCAGATGATGATGGCCCCAGAGCCATTACTCTCCTCCATCTGATGACTTCATTCATTTTTTATTTTTTTGAGACGGTCTCACTCTGTTGCCCAGGCAGAAGTGCAGTGGCCCAATCTCAGCTCACAGCAACCTCCCACCTCAGCCTCCCTAGTAGCTGAGACCATAGGCACACACCACCACGCCCTAGCTATTTCTCTGTATCATCATCGCCTGTAATCCCAGCTACTCAGGAGGCTGAGGCAGGAGAATCGCTTGAACCCAGGAGGCGGAGGTTACAGTAAGCCAAGATTGCACCACTACACTCCAGCCTGAGCAACCGAGCGAGACTCCATGTCCCCTCCATCCCCCGCCATTGGCCCTGGCTATTTCTCTGTATTTTTAATAGAGATGGCATCTGGCCATGTTGTCCAGGCTGGTCCCGAACTCCTGAACTCAAGCAATCCACCTGCCTTGGCCTCCCAAAGGGCTGAGATTACGGGCGTGAGCCACTGTTCCAGCTGGCTTCATTCATATAAGAGGCTGTTGTCAAGATAGAGACTCAGCTTCAGACCCATCCCACTCAAGACACAAAGTCAGGCCAGGTACGTTGGCTCACAGCTGTGTATTGCAGCACTTTGGGAAGCCAAGGCAGGGAGACTGCTTGAGGCCAGGAGTTCAAGATCAGCCTGAGCAATAGAGAGAGAACCTGTCTCTGCAATTTGAGGCCAGGCAAGATGGCTCACACCTACAATCTCAACACTTTAGGAGGCTGAGGTGGGTGGATCACTTAAGGCCAGGAGTTCAAGACCAGCCTGGCCAAAATGGCAAAGCCCCAACTCTACTAAAAATACAAAAATTAGCTGGGCATGGTGGCTTGTGATTGTAATCCCAGCTACTCGGCGGAAGACTGAGGCAGGAGGATCGCTCGAACCTGGGAGGTGGAAGCTGCAATGAGCCAAGATCATACCACTGCACTCCAACCTGGGTGACAGAGCAAGACTATCTGAGAAAAAAAAAAAAACAAAAAAACTTTTTTCTAAAAGAACTTGATTGGGCATGGTGGCTCACATGTGTAGTCCCAGATTCTCGGGAAGCTGAGGTGGGAGAATCACCTGGGCCAAGGAGTTCAAGGCTGCAATGTGCTATAATCACACCACCTCACCCTAGCCTGGGCAACAGAGCAAGATCTTGTCTCAAATGAAAAAGACACAAAGGTCTGTTTCCCAAGATTCACTGGAAAAGCCCCAACACAGCTCACTGGGAGCTTCAGGTGCAGACAGTGCCATCCCCTAAACAATCTGCCAGGCCCTAGAGGCCCACACACCCTCGAGGGAAAAAAGAGACCCCCCTCCCCCCAGCAAAGTCTGAGGCTGTGGTGGGAAGTAGTGGATGTAGCATCAAAGATTCACAGAGTAATTATAATGAGAGGTTTCACAGCTAGGAAGTGCCAGAACCTGGGAGTGCCTGGCTCAAAGCAGCTGTGAAATTCCCAGTGTGGTCTGGAAACCACCCATCATTAAGAGGAGGGACAGGTGGGCCAGGCGGGCCAGGCATGGTGGCTCACTCTTCTAATCCCAGCACTTTGGGAGGTCAAGGCAGTTGAATCACTTGAGGTTAGGGGTTTGAGATCAGCCTGGTCAACATGGTGAAACTCCATCTCTACTAAAAATACAATTAGCTGGACATGGTGGCGAGGGCCTATACTCCCAGTTACTCGGGAGGCTGGGGCAGGAGAATCGCCTGAACCAACCCGGGAGGCAGAGGTTGCAGTGAGCCAAGATCGCACTCTTGGCTGGGCGATACAGCAAGACTCTGAAAAAAATAAATAAAGTAGGACAGGTGGCCGGACCAGTCATGAGGCTAACAGTGGGAGCCTTTATCATCTAAGGCAAACCAAGAAAGTCACCTCCTCTTTGATGGAGGAAGAGGGCCCCACATAGGTGGTGGAAGAACAGTCAGCAAAGGCCAGAATGGCTGATTTAAGATGCATTCCTCAAATGGGCCCCCGCCCCGAGAGGTCCTGGTGGGAAGGAATGAGTGTAGCGAGCAAACAGGAGGGTGGAGACTGCCCCTCTAGTCTAGCCTGGAGTCCCAGGAGGTTGGGGTAAGGTAGCGTGGTGAGAACTCCGAGAGTCTGGTATTAATGCAGCACCTACTGTATGCATGAGTCCTGACATGTCATTCCAAGTTCAAAAGGAAAAATTCTGAGTTGGGAAGCTGCCCTCTCTGGTCTCAGCTGTCTCCCCGAAACCCAGCGCCTCACAACAAACCTTTGCTACAGAATGAAACCCCTCCTCCACCCCTTACTCCAGCCTTGCGAAGGCTGTTATTACCCTCATGGTGTGGATGAGTAAACCCAGACTCAGAGAACGCCAAAGCCAAGGCTCTGGCCAGCTCCCTGGGGGGCGTTCCTGGGAAAGGCCTGGAATTGTGAGGCCTGGTGGTCACCATCCTGCCTGGAACCAGACACTGTAGCAGCCACCTGGGGTTCAAATCCCAGCCCTGCCCCAACCATCCAGGTCCTCCTCATTCATGCTTTAGTTCATTTTATGGAACGAGACCCAGGAGTGACCAAGACACAGAGGGCTCCCGTTGCAACAGAATTTTCACTCTTCCCCTCTCTGTAGCCTCAGTTTCCTTATCTGTGAAATGGGACCAGCCAGACCTACATCACAGCAAAGGAGTTAAGGCACAGAGACCAAGGCCAGGCCAAGGACCCATCAAACCCCTGAAGAGCTCAGGGGGGTGGGGCTGAGCTGGGACTTATTTCCCGCCCCAGGCACCAAGCCTGGCACACAGGAGGCACCCAATAAATGCTGGTTTGAGCCAGGCCCAGCCCTCAATAAATAACAGCTGTTGCTGATGCCGCAGAGGCTGGTGAGGAAGTGAGCTCTCCCCTCCTCAACTCCACCACCCCATGCTCCCATCCCTCCGAAGGCCCCATTCCTTACCCCCTCCACTCCTTCCCAACACCCCCCAACCCAATTTAGCCCCCTCCTCCAGGCCCCCACCTCCCCCCACCCAACTCAGCCCCTTCCTCCAGGCCCTCACCTCTCCCCACCCAACTCAGCCCCTTCCTCCAGGCCCCCACCTCCCCCTACCCGACTCAGCCCCTTCCTCCAGGCCCCCACCTCCCCCCACCCAACTCAGCCCCTTCCTCCAGGCCCCCACCTCCCCTCACCCAACACAGCCCCTTTCTCCCAGGCCCCCACCTCCCCCCACATAACTCAGCCCCTTTCCCCAGGCCTTCACCTCCCCCCACCCAACTCAGCCCCATCCCCCAGGCCTCCACCTCCCCCTACCCAACTCAGTCCCTTCTCCAAATCCCCATCTCCACCAACCCAACTCAGCCCCTTCCTCCAGGCCTCCATCTCCCCCTACCCTTTCCATTTAAACTTCCCCCTCCCCCAACCTCTCCCTCCTCCTCTTCCTCCCTTTCCCCAACCCCCACGCACCCAATTCTGCCTCCATCCCCATCCCCCACCTGATTATTTATCCCCTCCCCCGCCCATCCTCCCCGCCCCCACTCGATTTCCCCCGCTTCGTCCCCTCCCCGCCCCCCGCGATTCCCCAGCCCTCTTCCCGGGCAGCGGGGGCGCTGGTCCCGGGCGGGGCAGCCCGAGTTCCCGGGTCCCTGGCTGGGGTCCAGCCAGCGGCCCAGGCCGGGCGGCGGCGGCGGGCGGGGTTTCTGGCCGCGCGCGGTTTGGGGGTTTTTTTTATAACCCTGGCAGGCGGCTCAGGAAGTGCCTTCCCCGCGCCCCCTCCCCCGGCCACGCCGCTGCGCTCGCTCGCTCCCTCCCTTCCTGCGCGCGCGGGGCGGCGAGACGGCGGCGGCCACGGCGCGGAGGCCCCGGGCGCGGCGCAGGTAGCGGGGCGGGTGGGGGTCCCGGGGGTGCGTGACTCAGTGGGATTTTGTGTGTCCTCATCCGGCGGTGAGGCCGCGGGGATCTGGTGCCCTGGATAGGGGAGGGCGTCCTGCTGTGCGACTCGGGTCGGTGCCTGAGGTCCCCAAGTGAGCGCGCCACTGGTCCCGCCCGGGGTGGCCGTGGGTTGGTTTGGGGTGTGTGTGTGTGTGTGTGTGTGGCGGCCCACGTAGGGGCAGAGTGGTTGTGCATTCCATGTGTGTGTCAGTGACTGGGGATGCGTCTCTGTTGTGTGTCTGCCTGTGTGTGTGTTCAGTGTGTGCGCACGGGCGTTTGCTGTGTGCACGCAGATTTGGAGGTGAGTGTGTGTGTCTGGGTTTGTGTGTGTGTCCCCAAGCATCTGTGCGTTTGTCTCTGTGATGTGTGTGTAAATGCCTGTGTGTGTCTGGTGCGTGGGGGATTGTCTGGGTCCGTGTCTAGGACTTTCGAGTTTGTCTCTGGTCTGGTGTGAGCATGCAAATGAGTGTGTATGTGTCCGAGGACAGGCCTGTGTGTCTGTCTCCTTGGGTTGTCTGTGTGTATGAGTTGTGTTTCTGTGTGTGTAGGCCCCGGGTGTGTGTATTTGTGTGTCCGTGTGTTTCTCTGGCTAGTCCCTTGTGTGCGTGTGTAAATGAATGTGTACGTGTTTACACATGTCTGGGAGTGTGTGGTTGTGTCTTCACGTGTTTGTGAGTGTGCACTGAGCCTGTTGTTGTGTGTATCTTTGGGGGAGGCGTCCTGGCGTCTTTTGTGGGTCTGCAGTGCCCCAGCGCCGGTCTCTGGCTGCACGGGGTGTGTGTGTGTGTTTGTGTGTCTGGGTGTGGGAGTGGCGCCGCCCACTTCCCCTGAGTTGGTCACTGAGGCCACAGCCGTCTGTCTCAGGGTGTCTCCAGCGGTCGGGCTCAGGGCCTTTAATTAGCGGCCAGTTGTGGGGGACCAGCCCGGGCGCCGGCCCCCTCCTCCCGCAGGCCCCAGCTGGGCCTTTGTCTGCTCTCTGGGCAGGGGCTGCCTCCTGCCGGCCCGGCCAGATGTGCAGCGGGAGGAGGCCGGCAGGCTGGGGCCTCTGCCTGGGCAGATGCGGCCTTGGCCTCTAAGGGGGACCTGCCGTCGGCCCTGTCCCCCAAGCCTGGCTGTAGAGGTCTGGGTGTAGAGCTGAGGGTCCCTCCAGGATCCCCGGGATAAGATCAGATGGATCCTCTGTTTCTAAGCCATTTCCATTTCCCGGAGGCATTTCCTCCTCCAGGCCTGGCACCCTCCCCCACGCTGGCCACCTCCCTCCTGCCTTCAGGGAGGAGGGGCTGGAGGAATGGCCAGTCCTGGGTACACACACATGGAGTCACACACTCACATGCTGTAATCCACATGGAGTCACACCCGGTCACACACACGATCACATGCCATAATGCACATGCAGTCACATGCTCACAGTCTCACACACTCACATGCTGTAATACACATGCAGTCACACACACACAGGGTCTCACACACACATGCTGTAATCCACATTTAGTCACATGCTCACATACAGGGTCACACACAGGGTCACACACTTATGCTATAATCCACATGCAGTCATTTGCTCACATACAGGGTCACACACATGCTGTAACACACATGAAGTCACACAGGGTCACACACATGCTGTAACACACATGAAATGCTCACAGGGTCTCACACACATGCTGTAATACACATGCACTCACACGGTCACACACAGGGTCTCACATGCAGTCACATGTGAGTCATACATGCAGTCACATGCTCACCCACAGGGCCACACACTTACATACATGCTATAATGCACATCCATGTAATACACATGCCACAATGCAGATCCCTCTCTGACATCCCATTGCCGACCACCGTCTCTGTCCCCTAGCCCCTCTCAAGCTTCATCTTCTGCCCCGACACACTGCCTTGTTATGTCCCCCTACCACCCGGTACCCTGGGCTGTGTCACACCTCTCTAGCACCTTGTGAGCAGGGCCGCAGCTCAAACACCTGTGAGCCTTCTGCAGACCCCCTCTTCCCCCAACCCCATGCATTGTGCACAGGTGAGTTCCCTGCCCCTGGCCCCACCCCCTGTGCTGGGTCCTCCCACAATGTCCCAAGCCTTATCCCTCACCCCCTACCTCAGTCCAAAGCACAGAAGGGGATGTGAGGGTTTTGGGAGGAGTGCCTCACTACTGAGGACAGTGATGAGGACTGTGGACATTAGGGGGACTGGGACAGACCCAAAGACACTCTAGACAAGACCAGAGAGAGCCCCTGAAGGAGGAGGACGGGGCACCAAGCCTGGCAAAGCAAGAACAGGAGAGGAGGGAGGGAGCCAATGGAGAAGTGGGGGAGGTCCCTGCTTCACTTGCAGTGTGTATGTTGCTACCTTTCAGGGGTGGCTTAGGGCAGGAGGGGGTGTCAGAGGTTCCCAGCCAGGAAGGGCCTTGATTTGGGAGTTGGTTGATGCCTCCAAAGAAGGAATCAGGGAGAAGCAGGAAGAGATGGAGAGGGAGAGGAGGCGGGGCTTGTTGGAGGGGTTCATTAGTAACAGAAGAAAGAAAATGTTTAAGGGGAGTTCTTCAGGGGCAGAGAGAGGGTCAGAATTTCCTCAGCAATCCCTGAGCTACAGACTCAGGTCAGTGCTGAAGATCAGCCCGGCTCCTCTTTGACCCCTCCCTGCCCAGGCTCCAAAGAGGAAGAAACCAAGGCCCAGAGAGGCCCAGGTGCAGGGGAGCAGGCGAAGGAAGGATCCGTACAGGAGCCCAACACTATTCCACCACCTGAAGCCCCCAAAAGGTAAAAAAAAAAAAAAAAGGCCAGGCACAGTGGCTCATGCCTGTAATCCCAGCACTTTAGGAGACAGAAGCAGGAGGATCATGAGGTCAGGAGTTTGAGACCAGCCTGGCCAACATGGTGAAACCCCAACTCTACTAAAACTACAAAAATTAGCTGGGCGTCGTGGTGTGCACCTGTAGTCCCAGGTACTTGAGAGGCTGAGACAGGAGAATCACTTGATCCCGGGAGGCGGAGGTTGCAGTGAGCCGAGCTCACACCATTGCACTCCAGCCTGAGTGACAGAGGGAGACTCCCTCTCAAACAAACAAAAAAAAAGAACAACAAAAGGAATGGACATTTGCCCAGCTAAAGTGTGCAGTAGGATCACAGTATCTGTGAGTTAGCTTCCCATCACTGGAGGGTTCCAAGCCGAAGTGGGGAATGCGGGCTTCTCAGTCCATCAGCAACTTGGCAAAAACCTGGCTCCCTCCCTCCCTTGGGGCTGCACTGCCCTGTTTGGGGATTGACTCTCAGACTTGGACTCTCAGACTTGGCTGGGCTGCAAAGAAAACAAGACTCTGTGATTGAGGGATTTTGCACAGAGGAGGAGGAGGGCGGAGACAGGAGGGTGGGGGAAGAGGGGTTTGGCACAGGGTGGTGGCCCGCTTCGGGTGTCTGCGGCAGGCTGGCCTGGGGCAGATGCTGGAGAGACGGGACCTGCAGGGCGGGCTGGCCGGGAGCCTTGAAAAGAATCTGAAAAGAGAAGAGGGAAGGAAACCCAGGGCAGAGGAGAGGCCTAGGGTGGGTGGGCTGGACCATGCTACCCATTTCGGAGACTCCACAGACAGGGCCTGGGACTGACTGGGTACGTGGGTGGGAATATGAGAGGTTGCGGGACTGGAGTACTAGCCTTAGCTTTAAGCTGGCTTGAAGACTCACACTGGCCACCCAAGCCTTCAAGTGCGAGCCTCCCCTTCCTCTCCTGCACCCACCCTGCCTGGGTCCATGCCAGGCTCTACCCCACCTTCAAGCCTTCGACCCCCTGTCTCCCCACCTGGTGCACCCTCCCGTCTCTTCACACCACTAATCTCACGCTTTGAACCTTTGCTTCCCAATCTCCACATTGATACCTTCTATCTTCTACAGAACACGTCACAACCTAAACTCTTCTCCATTCACCTGGCTGTCATCTCTCACTCTTAAGAGACTGAACCCCACAGAGCCAGGGCAAGTAGGGTTGCTGTCCTTAGCATGCCTGACTGTCATGCCCGCATCCGTCCTCCACCAATGAATGAACCCAGGTTCCACCACTTTCTAGCAGTGTGACCCAGGGCAAATTCTATCACTCCTGAGTCTATTTCCTCATCTATAAAAAGAGTGTGATTTGAAGTCAGGAGTTCGAGACCAGCCTGGCCAACATGGTGAAACCCCCTCTCTACTAAAAATACAAAGAATTAGCCATGCGTGGTGGCACATGCCTGTAGTCCCAGCTACTCAGGAGGCTGAGGCAGGAGAATCACTTGAACCTGGGCGGCGGAAGTTGCAGTGAGCCAAGATCGCACCATTACAGTCCAGCCTGGGCAACAGATTGAGACTCCCATCTCAAAAAAGAGTGTGATGACTTTGACCTAGGTTACTTTGAAATGAAATGCAATGTTGGGCTGGGTGTAGTGACTCATGCCTGTAATCCCAGTCCTTTGGGAGGCTAAGGTAGAAGGATTGCTTGAGGCCAGGAGTTCAAAATCAGCCTGGGCAACAAAGTGAGACCCCTGTCTCTCCAATAAAACAAAAACATTAGGCCGGGCGCAGCGCGGTGGCTCGCGCCCAGCACCTTGGGAGGCCAAGGTGGGTGGATCACAAGGTCAGGAGATCAAGCCATCCTGGCCTAACACAGTGAAATCCCGTCTCTACTAAAAATACCAAAAAAAAAAAAAAAATAGCCAGGCGTGGTGTCACACACCTGTAGTCCTAGCTACTGGGGAGGCTAAGGCAGGAGGATCACTTGAACCAGGATGGCAGAGGTTGTGGTAAGCCAAGACTGCACCATTGTACTCCAGCCTGGGTGACAGCCAGACTCCATCTAAAAAAAAAAAAAAAAAATTAGCCCGGTGTGGTAGCATACAGCTGTAATCTCAGCTACTTGGGAGGCAGAGACAGGAGGATTGTTTGAGCCCAGGATGTGGAGGCTGCATTGAGCTACGATCACACCACTGCACTCCATCCTAGGTGACTGGGGCAAGTAGCTGGCACTTAGGAGCTACTCCCCAGCGTCCCAGTCCCTGCCTGTCCTCTTGTAGGAGTGTAGAAAGGATTGGAAGGGGAAGTGGGGAGAGGGGAGTGACTGAATGAGAAAATGTATTCAGAATCTTCAGTCAGGTGGAAAGCTTTGGCCATGGTTGGCCTTGGCATTGGTTGTGCTGGACAGCAGGACCAGGCACCCCCTTACCTGGCTCACCCCTCCCAGGAGCCCGGTGATGCTGCGCAGGCTGTGAACAGGGGAGGCGGCACTGTGGGGGCTGCCGGCAGCCAGGGCTGGGGAGAGACATGTGGACACGTGGCCTCTATGGCTCCCGCCTGCCAGATCCTCCACTGGGCCCTCGCCCTGGGGCTGGGCCTCACCTTCGAGGTCACGCACGCCTTCCGGTCTCAAGGTAGGGGAAGTCTGGTGGTGGCGGTGGGGAGGGAGCTAAAAATTTGAGACCAGTTGGGCTCTAACAGAAAGAGGTATTGGGGGCTGGGATGGGGGTCAGCAGGGGAAGGCCCTGGGGTCAATGGGCGGGAGCCTTGCAGCCAACTCCCTGGATTTCGGGAGTCAGTGAGGCCAGCGTCACTTGCTCCAGCAGCCTAACAGCTAGGACACAGGGGTCCACTAAAACCAGGGCCCACCCAGGCCTCTGACCCTCACCCACAGATGAGTTCCTGTCCAGTCTGGAGAGCTATGAGATCGCCTTCCCCACCCGTGTGGACCACAACGGGGCACTACTGGCCTTCTCTCCACCTCCTCCCCGGAGGCAGCGCCGGGGCACAGGGGCCACAGCCGAGTCCCGCCTCTTCTACAAGGTGGCCGCACCCAGCACCCACTTCCTGCTGAACCTGACCCGAAGCTCCCGTCTACTGGCAGGGCATGTCTCCGTGGAGTACTGGACACGGGAGGGCCTGGCCTGGCAGAGGGCTGCACGACCCCACTGCCTCTACGCTGGTCACCTGCAGGGCCAGGCCAGCAGCTCCCATGTGGCCATCAGCACCTGTGGAGGCCTGGTGAGCTGAAGATTCTGGAAAGTGGGGGAGAAAAATGCCCACAAGTTTGGAAGTTAAAAATACTTCTACATAGAGGGCAGAGAAGGAATGATAGTGGGATTTTTTTTTAAGTATTTTGAGCGAATCAGTACTTTTGGGGTGCAGCTAAAGCAGTACTTGGAGGAAAATGTATAGCCTTAGGTAAGGCTGAAAATGAGCTAAGCATCTATATATATATATTTATGCATTTATAAATATATTTATATATATATAATTAAAAACTAAAAAGAAATTAGAGGCTGAGCATGGTGGCTCATGCTTGTAATCTTAGCACTTTGGGAGGCCAAGGCAGGAGGATGACTTGAGGCCAGGAATTTGAGACCAGCCTGAGCAATATAATAGAACCCCATCTCTATGAAAAAATAAATTTAAAAATTAGCCAGATATATTGGTATACTCCTACAGTCCCAGCTCCTCTGGCTGAGGCAAGAGAATCGCTTGAATCCAGGAGGTTGAGGCTGCAGTGAGCTATGATTGCACCACTGCACTCCAGCCTGGATAACACAGTGAGACCTTGTCTCCAAAAAAAGAAGAAAAAAAGAAAAGAAAGAAATAGCATGGATACGAATTACCTGTACCAAAAATAAATAAATAAATAGCAAAATAAACCTGATAAGAATGAAATCATAAAGACAGAGAGAAGGTCCCAGGGGTCCTAAGCTTCAGAACTTGATTCTGAGAGCTTTCTGTCCCACTCCCCAAAACCCAGCATGGCCTGATTGTGGCAGACGAGGAAGAGTACCTGATTGAGCCACTGCAAGGTGGGCCCAAGGGTTCTCGGGGCCCGGAGGAAGGTGGACCACATGTGGTGTACAAGCGCTCCTCTCTGCGTCACCCCCACCTGGACACAGCCTGTGGAGTGAGAGGTACATCGGTCTTCCCGGGAATGGGTACAGGGGCTGGCTACACAGTATCTTTCCTTTGAGGCAGCCGTGTCTTTTCATCCAGAAAGTCAGCAGGCAGCTTTGTGAGGGGAAGATTGGAACTGCTGAGAAGGGGACGTGGTGATATAATTAGGGAGTTCCGGCCAGGCACAGTGGCTCACGCCTGTAATCCCAGCACTTGGGGAGGCCAATGCAGGAAGATCACTTGAGGTCAGGAGTTCGAAACCAGCTTGGCCAACATGGTGAAACCCATCTCTACTAAAAATACAAAAATTACCTGAGCATGGTGGTGGGTGTCTGTAATCCCAGCTACTCAGGAGGCTGAGGCTGGAGAACTGCTTGAACCCCAGAGGCAGAGTTTGTGGTTAACTGGGATCATGCCATTGCACTCCAGCCTGGGTGACAGAGCGAGACTCCATCTCAAAAAAAAAAAATTAGGGAGTTCTATCCAAGATAGCAGAGACATATCCTTAGACAGCGAACCAGTGGAGGAATGGGATAATCTATCCCTGCCATAGCCAGCGAGCCCAGCAGTGAGTAGGACAGCCAGACAGGTGTTCAGGTACACAACCATTCTTTCTCTAGGATGATTGTCTGATCAGACAGTTAGTGTGGTGGTTGTATCAGATACTCCAGCAGTTATACAGCCTAAGGCCAGATTTACAATCAGACTGGTAGAAGGATGGTTGTACAATCAGGCATTTAGGAAATGAGAGTAGGAAAGCTACATGCCAACAAAATATTTACCAATTGTACTGCTAGGAAACCAGGCCAGGCCAGCATGGCGGCTCACACCGTTAATCCTAGCACTTTGGGAGACTGAGGCAGGAGGATTGCTTGAGCCCAAGAGTTTGAGAACAGCATGGGCAATGTAGTGAGATACCATCTCAACAAAAAATTAAAAAAATTAGCCAGGTGTGGTGTGCACTCCTGTAGTCCCAGCTACTTGGGAGGCTGAGGCAGAAGGATCACTTGAGCCAGGGAGGTTGAGGCTGCAATGCGCCATGATCACACCACTGCACTCCAGCGTGGGCAACAGAGCAAGATCCTGTTTCAAAGGATACATATAGAGAATCAGGGCCAGGCACAGTGGCTAATGCCTGTTATCCCAGCATTTTGGGAGGCTGAGACAGGTAGATCACTTGAGGTCAGGAGATCAAGATCAGCCTGGCCAACATGGCGAAACCCCATCTTAACTAAAAATACAAAAATGTTAGCTAGACGTGGTGGCACACACCTGTAATTCCAGCCACTTGGGAGGCTGAGGCAGGAGAATCACTTGAACCCAGGAGGCAGAGGTTGCAGTGAGCCAAGATTGTGCCATTGCACTCCACTCTGGGCAACAGAACAAGACTTCATTTCAAAAAAAGAAAATCAGATGAATGTTAGATGGAAAAGCAGAATAGTGTGATACTGAATTAAATGTATAATCAGAGTCTGAGTAGGATGTTGAGGGAGACATATAGCCACAGTGGTTGTACAAACGGAAATGTGGATAGCACATGATCACAGTTGGGTGGTCCATGAGACCGTCTGGTTGCAGTGCGTCAGGCAGTATGATTGTTCTAACTGCAGTGCATTGTAGTTAGAACTAACTGATTTCACTGGGCAGTGCATCGATTGGAGAGTTGCTCACCTAGGACAGTGCGACATCCAAGCACACAGTTCAGACAGTAAAACAGGCTGGTTCACACCCTTCCATTCGGGCAGTGGAATTGTCAGTGGACTGTACAATCATGCTGGTCATCATGGGACAGTGGTTCAGCCAACCAGCTTAGCTGTGGACAGTCATGCCAGTGTTCTTTGGACATCTGGGCAGTGGGACAGGCTGGTGGCTGAACAGCTGGATAGCTATACAGCCAACAATGGGAGACGTCAGGCTGTGCTTCAGCTCAACAATTTGGCAGTGGGACAGTGACATCATGGTAGACTACAGTATTCTCAGGCAGTAGTGGAACATTGGCAAAAAAATAGACATGGCACTGCCAAGATGTCCTATAGACACACAATGAGGTGGCCGGGCACAGTGGCTCACACCTGTAATCCCAGCACTTTGGGAGGCTGAGATGGGTGGCTCACTTGAGGTCAGGAGTCCGAGACCAGCCTGGCCCACATGCTGAAACCCTGTCTCAACTGAAAATACAGAAGTTAGCTGGGCATAGCAGCATACGCCTGTAATGCCAGCTACTCGGGAGGCTTAGGCAGAAGCATCACTTGAACCTGGGAGGCGGAGGTTGCATGAGCCAAGATTGTACCACTGCACTCCAGCCTGGGTGACAGTGAGACTCCCTCTCAAAAGTAAAAAATAAAAAGATGCAGTGTTTGGCAGCCCATTGGTTAGCCATGTGTGGTGGTGCACTCCCGTGGTCCCAGCTACTTGGGAGGCTGAGGCAGGAGGATCACGTGAGCCAGGGAGGTTGAGGCTGCAATGAGCCATGATCACACCACTGCATTCCAGCGTGGGCAACAGGGCAAGATCCTGTCTCAAAATATACATATAGAAAATGAGGGCCAGGGACGGTGGCTCATGCCTATAATCCCAGCATTTTGGGAGGTCAAGAGGGGGAGATCATTTGAGCAGATACACCATCAAATAGGTAGCTGGATGATAAGAGAAGGCAGCAGAATGACCAGAAAATGTCCAGACTGTTGGGTAGAGGGGGAGCCAGATAGAGGTTGGACAAGACAGTGGTCAGGCAGCTCTGGTTCCCACCAGCAGGACAGGGCTTAACTGCTCTACTGGGTCCCCCAGATGAGAAACCATGGAAGGGGCGGCCGTGGTGGCTGCGGACCTTGAAGCCGCCCCCTGCCAGGCCACTGGGGAATGAAACAGAGCGTGGCCAGCCAGGCCTGAAGCGATCGGTCAGCCGAGAGCGCTACGTGGAGACCCTGGTGGTGGCTGACAAGATGATGGTGGCCTATCACGGGCGCCGGGATGTGGAGCAGTATGTGCTGGCCATCATGAACATTGTAAGTGCCTTCCCCTCCCTGGGCCTGCAGCCCTGAGGACCTGGAGCCAGGCTCCAGATGTTAGGCAAGGGGGTGGCGGCTACCATCCCACCGCTAATCCCTGACATGTGGGCAAGGTGAGAAAGGAAGGTTACACATGGCAGTGAACAAGGAGAAAGGGAATAGCACAGCGACTAGATGCAGAGGGGTACCCTGGGGCAGAAGTAACCTTCCTGGGTTTACATTTCTGCTCTGCCACCTTTTAACTGTCTGCTTTTGAGTAAGTTACTTCACCTCTCTGCCTTGCCTTACCTATCTGTAAAATGGGCATAATTGTGGTACCTACTTTATAAAGCTAAGATAGATCCAGAGTGTTGATAAAGTACGTAGAACAGTGCTTGGCATGCAGTAGCTGACATATAAGTGTTTGCTGTGTGTAAAAACAAACACACACGGGCCAGGCACAGTGACTCACGCCTGTAATCGCAGCACATTGGGAAGCTGAGGTGGGTGCATCACCTGAGGTCAGGAGTTTGAGACTAGCCTGGCTAACATGGTGAAAGCCTGTCTCTAGTAAAAAATAGAAAAACTCAGCCAGGCATGGTGGCAGGTGCCTGTAATCCCAGATACTCAGGAGGCTGAGGCAGAAGAATCGCTTGAATCCGGGAGGTGGAGGTTGCAGTAAGCTGAGATCACGCCCCTGCACTCCAGCCTGGGCAACAGAGTGAGACTCCATCTCAAAAAAATTAAAAAATAAACACACACCAGTTTGGGACACATAGTGAAACCCTATCTCTACACAAAATTTAAAAATTAGTAGAGCATGGTGGCACACACCTGTAGTCCCAGCTGCTCAGGAAGCTGAGGCAGGAGGATCACTTGAGCCCAGGAGTTTGAGGCTGCAGTGAGTTATGGTTATGAGCTCTGTCATTCATTCATTCATTCATTCATTCATTCATAAATAAATAAATCACAGCAGGCCGGGCGCAATGGCTCATGCCTGTAATCCCAGCACTTTGGGAGGCTAAGGCGGGTGGATCACCTGAGGTCAGGAGTTAGAGACCAGCCTGGCAAACATGGTGAACCCTCATCTCTACTAAAAATATAAAAATTAGCTGAGCATGGTGGTGGGCACCTGTAATCCCACCTACTTGGGAGACTGAGGCAGGAAAATCACTTGGACCCGGGAGGTGGAGGTTGCTGTATGCCAAGATCACACCACTGCAGCCTGGGCAACAAGAGTGACACTCCATCTCAGAATGAATGAATGAGTAACAGCTCTCAGGTACTCATTGAGGTTAGCAGTATACACATAGGCACACATCTGTATGCGTGTAGCATTCTTGCACAAGCACCTACTTATAAATTCCAACAGGTTGACATCCCAGACCCACATTGAAATGTAGTCAATTTCCATCCTAGATCTCTTGACCTCTCTAAGCCTCAGCTTATGCCTCTATCAAATGGCATTATAATTGTTGCTACCGGGGAGAGTAAGGGTTGGTGGGAGGGAAGCTAGGTAGGGTACTTGGCGCATAGTAAGGGCTTGGTGAATGGTGCTCTTGTTTCACTGAAGCAAAAGGGAAAACAAAAAGTTGAGCAGACAGGCAGTGGGTCCAAAATGTTGTGTAAGCCATCACTGATGGTGCTCTGTTGTTCCTGAGCCTGGCCTCTCTCCCTAGGGCTTTCCAAATTTCCTGGGGGTTTCCGGCCGGGCACAGTGGCTTACGCCTGTAATCCCCGGACTTTGAGAGGCTAAGAAGGGTGGATCACTGAGGTCAGGAGTTCAAGACAAGCCTGGGCAACATGGTGAAACCCCATCTCTACTAAAAATACAAAAATTAGCTGGGCATGGTGGCGATCACCTGTAGTCCCAGCTACTCGGGAGGCTGAGGCAGGAGAATCCCTCGAACCCAGGAGGTGGAGGTTGCAGTGAGCCAAGATTGCGACACTGAACTCCACACTCCAGCTGGGGAAACAGAGTGAAACTGTCTCCAAAAAAAAAAAAAAAAAAAATTTCCTGGGGATTTCCAGACAGGGAAATTACTGCCCAGGGCTCCAGGATCCTTGCACAGCCTGGCCTCTGTCTTCTGTGCCCACTCATCCCTGGAGCTGCTTTCTCCTTTCCTCTGACCACTGTCTGCAGAGCCTCCTACCCCCAGTTTTATATTCCTGTGGTGATGGGCAAATTGGTACCTTCAGACAGCTGTGGAATGAAGCCAGGCATATACATCCCTCAGGTCGCCTCTGGGCAAAGACACTTGAGGCAGTCAGCGGGGTAAGCAGGGGTTGAATCACGCTTGAACCTGGGAGGCGGAGGTTGCAGTGAGCCATTGCACTCCAGCCTGGGTGACAAGAGCAAAACTCTGTCTCAAAATAAATAAATACATAAATCACAGTTCACAGGTACCCATTGAGGTTAGCAGTGAGGCTGGGCGTGGTGGCTCACGCCTGTAATCCAAGCACTTTGGAGGCCAAGGCGGGCGGATCACCTGAGGTCGGGAGTTCAAACCAGCCTGACCAACATGGTGAAACCCCGTCTTTAAAAAAAAAAAAAGAGGTTAGCAGTACACACAGGCCCACATCTGTATGCATGCAGCATTCTTGCACAAGTAGATAAGCTGAACTTGGAGGAGTCTGAAAGAAATGTTCTGGTAAGCATTCCAGACACGAGTCTTACTTCTGACACCTACCAGCTGTGTCCTAACCTCTCTTTACATGTCTCCTTGTCTGTAAATTGGGGATGATAATAGCACCTATTCATGAAAAGATACATGGCCAGGCATGGTGGCTCACACCTATAACCCCAGCACTGTGGCAGGCTAAGCCAGGAGGATCACTTGAGGTCAGGAGTTCGAGACCAGCCTGGCCAACATGGTGAAACCCCGTCTCTACTCAAAATACAAAAATTAGACGGCCATGGTCAGGTTCAATGGCTCACACCTGTAAGGGAGGCCAAGGTGGGTGGATCGCCTGAGGTCAGGAGTTTGAGACCAGCCTGGCTAACATGGTGTAACCCCGTCTCTACTAAAAATACAAAAGAATTAGCCAGGTGCGATGGTGGTTGCCTGTAATCCTAGCTACTCAGGAGGCTGAGGCGGGAGAATTGCTTGAACCCAGGAGGCAGAGGTTGCAGTGAGCCAAGATCGCGCCATTGTACTCCAGCCTGGGCAACAAGAGCAAAACTCTGTCTCAAAAAGAAAAAAATTAGGCAGGCATAGTGGTACACCTGGAGACCCAACTACTTAGGAGGCTGAAGCAGTAGAATCACTTGACCCCGGGAGGTGGAGGTTACAGTGAGCTGAGATTGCGCCACTGCACACCAGCCTGGGCAACAGAGCGAGACTCCATTTCAAAAAAAAAAAAAAGTACCTATTCATGAAAAGACTGATCCATGATCAGGTGTGGTGGCTCACACCCGTAATCCCAGCCCTATGGGAGGCCAGGCAGGAGGGTCACTTGAGGTGAGGAGTTCGAGACCAGCCTGAGCAACATAGCAAGCCCTCATGTCTAACAAGAACAGCAAAATCCTAATCGCATGTTTAGCCTAAGAACCAGCACGCAGTAGGTGCCTGATTAAAGCAGGCTGTTATTGTTTTTGCTTTTCATTTTCTACCCTGGGCTTCTCTTAAGACTCGGTCTCTCTTGTTTCTTGGAGGTCAGGTTGCCAAACTTTTCCAGGACTCGAGTCTGGGAAACACCATTAACATCCTCGTGACTCGCCTCATCCTGCTCACGGAGGACCAGGTGCGGGGGGGCCCTTTCCCCTTCCCCTTCCCTTTCCCCGTCTCCTTTCCTTCCCCTTCCAATTCACACCAGCATGTTCTGCCATCCTCTGGGTGGTGGGTGCCCACGTACTTCCCTCTGTCCATCCCAGCCCACTCTGGAGATCACCCACCACGCTGGGAAGTCCCTGGACAGCTTCTGCAAGTGGCAGAAATCCATCGTGAACCACAGTGGCCATGGCAATGCCATTCCGGAGAATGGTGTGGCTAACCATGACACAGCGGTGCTCATCACACGGTGAGGGGAAAGGAGAGGTCCGGGACTGCGGCTAAGAAAACAGAAGGTCCAGGGACCATTAGAGTCCAAACAGAGATGATTTCTGCTGGGGGTTGGGAGGAGCAGGGGAGCCTGGGCCGCCCTGAGGGAGCCAGGGTTGGGGAGGGGCTGCTTGAGAATGGATAAGGGAGGTTTGAGGCTGTTTGGGCACCAATGTCATCATTCGCTCCTTCTCCCACTCATTCATTCATTGATTCATTCATTCACTCATTTGGTCAGTTAGTCACTCCCGTATGCAGCTTCAGGTGAGAGGCAGATAGCACTTCCCAGGCAGAGTTCAACCCCCAGAGCTGGGCATGGTGGCATCAAAGGGCTGAGAGAGGCAGCCCAGACCCCTCGCTGCCCCCCTTTCCTTTCACAGCTATGACATCTGCATCTACAAGAACAAACCCTGTGGCACACTAGGTATCTGAGCCCCTGTGAAGGCAATGGGCTGGGGTGAGACCTGGCAGGTTGATGGGGCCACCCAGCACTGTCCTGAGCCCCCAGCCCCATCCCCACATGCCCGTGTTCCCAGGCCTAGCCCCCGTGGGCGGAATGTGTGAGCGTGAGAGAAGTTGCAGCGTCAATGAGGACATTGGCCTGGCCACGGCGTTCACCATTGCCCACGAGATTGGGCACACGTGAGGCCAGGGGACACAGGAGGGGGAGGACGGGAGGAGCTGGGCGGGTCCCTCGGTGCCCGGCAGAGCCGACACCCCTTTCCCCAGATTCGGCATGAACCATGACGGTGTGGGAAACAGCTGCGGGGCCCGTGGTCAGGACCCGGCCAAGCTCATGGCTGCCCACATTACCATGAAGACCAACCCATTCGTGTGGTCATCCTGCAGCCGTGACTACATCACCAGCTTTCTAGAGTGAGGATGCACCTGGGTGTCCCTCAGAGCAGGTCACACTCACAGTGGGGTGGGGGGGCTTGGGGATGATAGAAATCAGGGTTCCTCCCCGGGACCCCCATCCCGCTGGGGCTCCTGAGCTCTTCACTTGCAGCCACCTAGCATGACAATTGCTTTTCTCTTGAGGCAGCTCGGGCCTGGGTCTCTGCCTGAACAACCGGCCCCCAAGACAGGACTTTGTGTACCCGACAGTGGCGCCAGGCCAGGCCTACGATGCAGATGAGCAATGCCGCTTTCAGCATGGAGTCAAATCGCGTCAGTGTAAATACGGGGTAGAGAGAGCCTTCCTGCTTTCCTTCCTGGGAGGGGAGGGGGCCGCTGGGGGTCAGGGAGGAAACCACCAGGGCACCCACCTGGGAAGTGGCAGGGTGGGAGAGCTGGGAAGGGGGGTGAGGTGAACCCCTGTGGGGATCTGAGAAGACAGAGGTGCATGGAGTGTGCAGAATATCCCAAAGAATCAGACAGTGCTTGAGAACAAAAATGGGATCACCTGCTTCTCCGGACCCCTGATTTGAGGGCTAGGCTGGGGGGGCCACCTTCTGCCTGGCACGTTAGACTCCCTGTGGGCTATAGCAGGATCAAAGTCTCAAGACCTCTCTCGGGTCAGTTTTTAACTAAACATCTAGTCCTGAAGGAAATCATTTCCCTGGGGTGAGCCATCTTCCCTACTTGGCAAAGAACTAGACAGAACCTTCCAGGGCCTCCCTGTCTTCACTCCCCACGTTGCCCACTGACTGGTTCACAAGCTCTCCTGACCCCAGTTCTTGGCTGGGGGAGCCCTGAGCCTCCTGACCTTTCCCCATTCTACTCCAAGATTTAAACTCCTAAAGCCCCATTTGTGCAGAGAAGGGAGTTGGGCAAAGAGGGGTCTACCCCTAGCTCCCCCTGCCAGGAAACTGAAAACCTACTGGCTTCCTGCTTCAGCCACCAGGGTTCAGCTGGGGTCTGCTCCTCCTCTGCCCACCTGTCTCAATTCCCTAAATGCATCTCTCCGCTCCCCATAGTCTCACCCCTAGGGGCCCAGCCCCAGCCCCAGTTCTTCACACCCTCACAACTCAAAGAATCAGATGCCATGTTAATGCAAAGCAGAGGGCAAGCAGCTGCCAAATTGCCCTCCCTTCATTCCACTGCAAGACAGTGACAAAACCCCGGAACAATTTCTATTTCATTGACATTCCACCCTTGACCCGCCCCCCCCCCCCACCCCACGCTAACTTAGCTGGAAACTACAGCACCTTCTAAGGAATTCCTAAAGAATTGCAGCAATACCCCGAACATCTGCTGTGACCCAGATACCCTAACAATGATGGCGGTAGCTGACATTTACTGAGCTCTCACTACGTGCTAAGTATGTGCTGTGTGTCATCTAAACTGACAATCGTATTACCCCCCAAGTTACAGAGGAAGGGACTGAGCATAGCAGAGAGAGGTTGACTCATCCCATGCCACAATTCAAGACCATGGCAGAGCTGGGATTTAAATCCTGTTCTCTCATGACTCCACATTTCACAAAGGGGCAGGGGAGGGGAGGAGCTGTCAAAATAATCAAGCTTGGGCTGGCACTGGCTATATATTGAACTGAGGCTTTTAGTTTTGAAGGTACATCTTTCGGGCCCTCTTGGCAAAGGGGATTTATTTACTACATTTATTTACTACATGTGAACTGGTTAATATATATAAAGGGTTCAGCCTAGGCCTGGTCCATAGATAGTGGTGGTCATTGTTACCCCACAATGGCATTGGTGCAAGCCCTTTCATACCTACCCTGCCCATGCCTCATAGCCATTTATATAGGCAAGGCAGGCATTAGGCTGCCTGTCTTGTAGATAAGTAAACTGAGGCCCAGAAATGTTGATGTTGCAAGTCAGTAGCAGAGTTGAGGCCTCTGCACAACTCAAATATACCACAGTGCCTCCTTGTGGAGAGGAGGCCAAAAGCAGGACTGAAATCAGTCTCTTTAAGAGGTGTCAGAAGGCCGGGCCTGTAATCCCAGCACTTTGGGAGGCCGAGGCGGGTGGATCACGAGGTCGGCAGATCGAGACCATCCTGGTCAATATGGTGAAACTCCGTCTCTACTAAAAATTACAAAAAATTAGCTGGGCATGGTGGCGTGTGCCTGTAATCCCAGCTACTCAGGAGGCTGAGGCAGGAGAATTGCCTGAACCTAGGGGGCGGAGGTTTTGGTGAGCCACGATCACGTCATTGCACTCCAGCCTGGGTAACAAGAGCGAAACTCCGTCAAAAAAAAAAAAGAGGTGTCAGAAGTGGGATTGCTACTGGACTGATATTATATTTTTAGACATGGCCAGGAGGACACAGGCTGAGTTTTTAGTTAAGTTTTTTCCAGAGAACTGTTCTCTATAAGGCAGAAGGCAGAGACTCTAGAGGACCTTTGAGGGAGAATGTTCGAGGACAACTCTTCTAACTTCTCGTGTATGTACAGGTATCTCTCAGGGGCTGACCCAGGAAGGGTCCTTTGCAATGGACATTGATTGATCCAGTCCCACATCTGGAAAGCTTACAAGAATTGGGTTCAAAGAGGGAAATTACACTTGATTATTACAGAAGGATGACCTACTTCTTAGAGGAAAGACCCTGGGAGGTTGCTTAGCATCTGGGCCAAGAGGGTCAGGGATTTTGCTTCACCTGAACCAGTGGGGCCCCTCCAGGGATATTAATCTGGACTTTAAGGGTCAGAGTAGTCCCTGGGACTGGCCCAGCCCATGCAGGATCCAGATGGGAAGAGGGTGGGGCTGATTTTTCACCTACAGAAAGAAAAGACTGTCCCACACAGACCCAACTTGGCATTGTCCCCTCCCAAACTCCCACCTCCCCATATCTTGAAAGTGTTGGAGGGGTTTCTCCAGTTTAGATGGGGGAAACAAAGAGAACCAACAGCTGGAAAAAACTAGAGATGAGGCCTTTGGCCTACTCACCATCCAGGCCTGACTTCTCAGAACCACCACTTTCCTCTAAGCTACTTTGCCCATCCAAAAAAAGAACCCCAAATCCTTCCTGTTCATTCCTCAGCAGGTCCCAAGTTTCCTTCCAGAAACTCAGAAGGCAACAGGATCTGAATTGCAAAGTTCATTAGAGCACAGACTCTGAATTAAAGATCTGGGTTAAACTCCAGGCTACTCCCTTGTAGTAGCTGTGTAACCTCTAGCACGTGACCTTACCTGTCTGAATCTTGGTTTTCTCCCAGTAAAATCGGGTAGTACTGCCTAAAGGGTACATGGCATGCATAAGGTGCTCCATAAATGCAGCTTATTGGCAGAGGATAAGTCACAGGCCATGCCCCGCAAGGGGATGCACGAAGACCCACTGCGAGCCAGGAAGGGAGCACGCAGCTCTCTGCTCCGGGGCCGGCTGTGAGCAGGACATCTGGGTCCTCCCAAGCCGGGCAGGCTGCCCCAGGGAGGAAGGGAGGGGGGAGAGCCTGAGCGGGCGCCTCGGCCCGCAGGAGGTCTGCAGCGAGCTGTGGTGTCTGAGCAAGAGCAACCGGTGCATCACCAACAGCATCCCAGCCGCCGAGGGCACGCTGTGCCAAACGCACACCATCGACAAGGGGGTGAGCGCCAGACAGGGCACCCAACTGAGCCACGCCCCCTGATCCACCTCTCGCGTTGGCCACGCCCACCAAGCTGTGTCCTTCGGCCTATTGTTTACTCCCTCCCGCATTAGCCACACCTACCATCTGTTCTCCACCCCCTGCCTGTGGCCATGCCTATTGCTTGCTCCTTCCAGTGTTGGCCACGCCCACCATCTAATGCTCCCCTCGGCTCTGGCCACGCCTATTCCCGCTCCCTCTCGCATTGGCCGCGCCCACCGTGTACGGGTCCCCGGTCCCCTCGGCTCTGGCCACGCCTACCGTTTGCTCCCTCCTGTCTTGGCCACACCCATCCCCTGTGCAGTCCTCGGCTCTGGCTACGCCTACTGCCTGTAGGCCCCGCCCCTGTTCTGAAGCCACGCCCCACCTCGTCTCCACGCCTATCCTGGTCCTGTCTACACCTGTCCGCTCCCAGTTCTGCACCCTACACTCAGGCCACGCCTCTCGCTTATACCGCGTCTGTCTCCCAGACCACTCTCCTACCTAACCTGGCCCTGTCCCCATCTGTCCCCTATCCCCAGACCCCGCCTCTGCCCATCCTCTTTCTGTCCCATCCTGGAGGGGCTGAAAGCTCTCTGGCTGGGGCTTGGAGGGGGGAACGGTGCACGCGGCCGGCAAGTATCCTCGGGCTGGACTCACTCCTCGCTGTCTCCCCCGACCCAGTGGTGCTACAAGCGGGTTTGTGTCCCCTTCGGGTCGCGCCCCGAGGGCGTGGACGGAGCCTGGGGCCCATGGGCTCCGTGGGGCGACTGCAGCCGAACCTGCGGCGGCGGCGTGTCTTCTTCCAGCCGTCACTGCGACAGCCCCAGGTCAGCCCTCGGGACCCCCACCCGGGAGGGCTGCACGACCCCCGCCCCCATCTCCCCTTGCCTCATCTCTCTTCTGTCCCACTTCCCCTTCCAGACCAACCATCGGGGGCAAATACTGTCTGGGTGAGAGAAGGCGGCACCGCTCCTGCAACACGGATGTGAGTTATCCCAAATCCCTTGAGGGGCGGGGGAGGAAGCATTAAAAAGAGCTATCAGAAACCAGGCGCGCGGTGTCTCATGCCTGTAATCCCAGCACTTTGGGAGGCTGAGGCGGATGGGTCACCTGAAGTCAGGAGTTCAAGACCAGCCTGGTCAACATGGTGAAACGCCATATCTACTAAAAATACAAAAATTAGCCAGGCATGGTGGCAGTTGCCTGTAACACAGCTACTCCGGGAGGCTGAGGCAGGAGAATCACTTGAACCCAGGAATCGGAGGTTGCAGTGAGCCGATATCACACCACTTCACTCCAGCCTGGGTGACAGAGCCAAACTCCATCTCAAAAAGAGAGAGTACACCAATTAAAACAATTAAGTGTGGGGAAAAAAGAGAGAGAGAGATCAGAGTGCTTCGTCCAGGCACCTACCACCTCCTAAGGAACCTGCAGCCTCCTCTCCCCGACCCCCACCACCTTCCCCTTCTGAACCCCTCTTCCTCGATGACCTGGCTTCTTCCAGCTCTCTCTCTTCCTCCTACTTTCAGACTCAGGAGATGAGCCCGCACCTTGAAATCATTGCTTGGCCTCACAACCCCCTACCATCCAGTCTGTCCCCTCCCTTTACAGTCAACTTCCCCCAAAGAGTCCCACCCCTGCCCTCTGTCATCCCCCAAAGCTGTAGCTGAAGCTGCCTCTCACCAAACCTAGTGGCAGGTGTCTATCCTCTGCTTGTGCCCTCAGCTGACCTGGGACCACCAGTGAGGTTCCCTGGGGAGAGAAGGGGGTTGTTTCAGAGGGCAGTGAGAGCTTTGGATTTTTCAGCCCCACCATCTGGGGGGACCCAGGTTTTCAGGGAATCCACATGTTAGTACCTTCTATAAACCCTCATCCTTTCTAGACCTCCTCTCCCAAGAAAGACTCCACATGGCCAGACAGGGTGGCTAATGTCTGTAACCACAGCACTTTGGGAAGCTGAGACGGGCAGATCACCTTAGGTCAGGAGTTCAAGACTAGCCTGGTGAACATGGTGAAACACCATCTGTACTGAAAATATAAAAATTAGCCAGGCATGGTGCTGAGCACCTGTAATCCCAGCTACTCGGGAGGCTGAGGCAGGAGAATTGCTTGAACCCAGGAGACGGAGGTTGCAGTAAGCTGAGATGGCACCACTGCACTCCAGTGAGTGAGATTCTGTCTCAAAAAAAAAAAAAAAGAAAGAAAAGGCTCCAGAGTCTGGAACCAGAAACTCAGGTGTTCCTGCCCAGCTCACCTCCAAACCCCGAATGAGGGGTCCATCCAGTCCTATCCCAGATGCATCTCCACGCCCAGCCCAGGCCACCTTCCAGGTCTAGTCTCACCCAGACCATCACAGACTCCTCCCTGGCCTCCCTACCTCCAGACCCCCTCCTCCAGCCCATCTGTCTCTGAGAAGCCCTTTTCTGCTCTGACTCCAAGCCCCCAAACGTGGCCTCCCTCCGTCTTTCCTCTCCTGCCCCCAGGATTGTCCCCCTGGCTCCCAGGACTTCAGAGAAATGCAGTGTTCTGAATTTGACAGCATCCCTTTTCGTGGGAAATTCTACACGTGGAAAACGTACCGGGGAGGTGAGTGGAGGTTTCTGAAGGCCAGGGGGCCGTGAAGGGCAGCCATGGGAGTGTCTGGCAGCAGGTGAATGAATGCAGCCTCCCAGGGTCTGCCTGAGCCCTGTCCCCACCCAGGGAGCCAGAGTACCCGGGATAGAGTACCATGGGGCCTCGACTGGATGCTGTGAGCCCCCAGTCCCTCTGCCCAAGCTGCCCATCCTCTTGGGTCTGGGGTCTGTTCCTCTTGGCCTCACTGCCCCAGGGAGTGAGAAGGGAGTCCCGGGATGGCCTGGCCCATGATGTGACGGGGCTGTGCCCCCCAGGGGGCGTGAAGGCCTGCTCGCTCACATGCCTAGCGGAAGGCTTCAACTTCTACACGGAGAGGGCGGCAGCCGTGGTGGATGGGACACCCTGCCGTCCAGACACGGTGGACATTTGCGTCAGCGGCGAATGCAAGGTGCGGGGGATGCCCAGGGAGTGGGAGAGGAGATGGGGAGCAGGGGTGGGTTGAAGGGGTCGCCTCGCTGACACCCTCTCCACGCAGCACGTGGGCTGTGACCGAGTCCTGGGCTCCGACCTGCGGGAAGACAAGTGCCGAGTGTGTGGCGGTGACGGCAGTGCCTGTGAGACCATCGAGGGGGTCTTCAGCCCAGCCTCACCTGGGGCAGGTGAGAGCCTCCAGCTTCCCTCCCACGCTCCCTGCTTGGGCCAGCTGGCTGGGGGCGGAGCTGATCCCACCGAAGTAGCTGAGATCACTAACTGCTCACACACCAGGAGCCCCCTCCCGTGGAGTGTGAGTAATTCCCAAAAGTCCTGGGGGCCCAGCCAAAGTGACTCAAGCCTATAATCCCATCGTTTTGGGAGGCCGAGGCAGGAGGATCGCTTGAGGCCAGGAGTTTGAGACCAGCCTGGCCAACATGGTAAAACCCCGTTTCTACTAAAAATAAAAAGTTAGCCAGGCATGGTGGCGCACACCTGTTGTCCCAGCTACTCAGGAGGCTGAGGCATGAGAATGGCTTGAACCTGGGAGGCGGAGGTTGCAATGAGCCGGGATCACGCCACCGCACTCCAGCCTGGGTGACAGAGCAAGACTCTATCTCAAAAAAAAGTATCTTTCTGGGTGTAGTGACTCATGCCTGTAATCCCAGCACTTTGGGAGGCCGAGGTGGGCAGATCACAAGGTTAGGAGATCAAGACCATCCTGGCTAACACAGTGAAACCCCGTCTCTACTAAAAATACAAAAAAATAGCTGGGCATGGTGGCACACACCTGTAGTACCAGCTACTCGGGAGGCTGAGGCAGGAGAATCGCTTGAAACTGGGAGGCAGAGGTTGCAGTGAGTCAAGATCAAGCCATTGCATTACAGCCTGGGCAACAGAGCTAGATTCTATCTCAAAAAAAAAAAAGAGTGTCTCAGGAGATGGGAGCCTGGATCTCTCTCCTCTGCCTCCTGAAGGAGCTCATGCCAGGTCTGGGTGGAAGGGAGCGTCACTTTCCATCCTCTGTGAGCCAGAGAAGCTGGGGGAATGTTCTGTGCTAGCCGGGAAAGGCGGGAGGGGATATTCAGAGAATGTAGAAAGCATCCTCTCCAGCTTGGGCAAGTGAGAGAGAGCCCAGGAAGTGGGAAGAGGGGAGGAGGTTCAGGAAATATCTGGAAGGCTAAGGAAGCTGTAGGTACTGTCAGAGGTGAGGCAGGAGTAGGTTGCAAGGTGTGGGTTTCATTCCCAAGTAGGGTCCCACTGGGGTTTTATAATAAGGAGCCTGGCAGCTGGCATCAAAACTAAGACAAGCACAGTAGCTCACACCTGTAATCCCAGCGCTTTGAGAGGCTGAAGTGGGAGGATCCCTTGAGCCTAGAAGTTTGAGACCAGCCTGGGAAATATAGGGGGACCCCAACTCGACCAAAACAAGAATTTTTTTTTGAGACAGAGTCTTTCTCTGTCACCCAGGCTGGAGAGCAGTGGCTTGATCTTGTCTCACTGCAACCTCTGCCTCCTGGGTTCAAGAAATTCTCCTGCCTCAGCCTCCCAAGTAGCTGGGATTACAGGTGTGCACCATGACGCCTGGCTAATTTTTGTATTTTTTTTTTAGTAGAGACGGGGTTTCACCATATTGGCTAGGCTGGTCTGGAACTCCCGATTTCAAATGATCCGCATGCCTAGGCCTCCCTAAGTGCTGGGATGACATGTGTGAGCCACCGTACCTGGCCGAACTCTACAAAATTCTTTTAATTAGGTGGGTGTGGTGGTGTACACCTGTAGTTCCAGCTGCTCAGAAGGCTGAGAGGCAGGAGGATCCCTTTAGCCCAGGAGATCGAGGCTGCAGTAAGCTATGATTCTACCACTGCATTCCAGCTTGGGTGACAGAGTGAGATCCTGTCTCAAAAAAAAAAAACACTTAGTCATGGGGAAAGTGGAGCCTATGGGACCCAACGCACTGGAGACACTGCGGGGGTCCTGCCAGATAAACCAGGATTCCTGGGGGCACAGGTGAATAGGGGTAGAGTTTGTGAGAGCCCAGAACCATCCAGGTAGTCAGTGGCGGAGTCCGCTGCACACCCAGCTCTGTCTGCTAAAACTCCGCCTTGTCAGTCTTTGTAGATTGGAGTCCCTGTGGTGCCTCTTCCCCTCTGTCCAGGCCAGTCTCCATGCTTGCTGGGGGAATGGGAAGGTAGATTCGACTATATTAGTGGATAGAGAGGCAGCAAAATTGGGGTTCAAATCCCAGCCCAGGCCAGGCACGGTGGCTCACACCTGTAGTCCCAGCACTTAGGGAGACTGAGGCAAGAGGATCACTTGAGCCTGGGAGTTTAGAGACTAGCCTGGGCAACTTAAAAAGACCCCAACTCCACAAAAAACAAAAAACAGTTTTTTGGGTTTTTGTTTGTTTGTTTGTTTGTTTTTTTGAGACGGAGTTTCGCTCTTGTTACCCAGGCTGGAGTGCAATGGTGCGATCTCGGCTCACCGCAATCTCCGCCTCCTGGGTTCAGGCAATTCTCCTGCCTCAGCCTTCCGAGCAGCTGGGATTACAGGCACGCACCACCGTGCCCAGCTAATTTTTTGTAATTTTAGTAGAGATGGGGTTTCACCATGTTGACCAAGATGGTCTCGATCTGTTGACCTCGTGATCCACCCGCCTCGGCCTCCCAAAGTGCTGGGATTACAGGCTTGAGCCACCGCGCCCGGCCTGTTTGTTTGTTTTTGAGGCAGAGTCTTGCTCTGTCGCCAGGCTAGAGCACACTGGCACAATCTCAGCTCACTGCAACCTCCTTCTCCCAAGTTCAAGCGATTCTTCCACCTCAGCTTCTTGAGTAGCTGGGACTACAGGTGCATGCCACCACACCAGGATAATACTTGTATTTTTAGTAAAGACAGGGTTTCACCATGTTGGCCAGGATGGTCTCGATCTCTTGACCTCATGATCCGCCTGCTTCAGCCTCCCAAAGTGCTGGGATTACAGGCGTGAGCCACCACGCCCAGCCAAAAAGTTTTCTTTAGTTAGCCAGGTGTGGTGGCTTACACCTGTAATCCAAGCTACTGGAGAGGCTGAGGCTGGAGGATCACTTGAGCCTAGGAGTCTGAGGCTACCGTGATCCGGGATCACTCCAGTGTGCTCCACCCTGGGCAACAGAGAGATCCTGTCTCAAAAAGAAAAAGAAAAAGAAAATCCCAACCCAGCTATTTCCTAGCTATAAAACCTGGTCAAGTTGCTTAGCTTCTCTGAGCCTCAGTTTTGTCATCCCTAAAATGGGATAATGAAACATCAAGTTCACAAGGGTGGGGCAGAGATGCAGTCAGACATGCGTTTGGTGCAGTCACGGTTAGCTGTTATCCTCATGGGCCAGGGGCGGGAGGTGGGCAGGCGCTGGGGACACACCAGGTGGGTGACATCTGAGCTCTGCTGTCCAGGGTACGAAGACGTCGTCTGGATTCCCAGAGGCTCTGTCCACATCTTCATCCAGGATCTGAACCTCTCTCTCAGTCACCTGGGTGAGCAGACGGTGGGAAGGGGATGCAGATTAGGGGTCAGTTGAGGAGGCAGACGCTTCAGCATGACTAGAACACTAGCCCCTGCACTGTCCCCCAGCCCTGAAGGGAGACCAGGAGTCCCTGCTGCTGGAGGGGCTGCCCGGGACCCCCCAACCCCATCGCCTGCCTCTGGCTGGGACCACCTTTCAGCTGCGACAGGGGCCAGACCAAGTCCAGAGCCTGGAAGCCCTGGGACCCATCAATGCATCTCTCATCGTTATGGTAACAGAGACGGGGGTGGTAGAAGAGGGGAGCAAGGTGCATCCTTTGGAATTAGAGACTCCACACGACTCATCTGTTGGCTGCCGCCCCCTTCCTCCAGGTGCTGGCCCGGACCGAGCTGCCTGCTCTCCGCTACCGTTTCAATGCCCCCATCGCCCGTGACTCACTGCCTCCCTACTCCTGGCACTACTCGCCCTGGACCAAGTGCTCAGCACAGTGTGCAGGCGGTGAGGCCGGGGGTGGGGGCAAGCACAGGATACCTGGACTGCGGTCCTGTGGGCTGGGAGGGGCTGAGCAGGCCTCTCACCCTTCCCCAGGTAGCCAGGTGCAGGCGGTAGAGTGCCGCAACCAGCTGGACAGCTCGGCAGTCGCCCCCCACTACTGCAGCGCCCACAGCAAGCTGCCCAAGAGACAGCGTGCCTGCAACACGGAGCCTTGCCCACCAGAGTGAGTGCCGCCAGGGGGCAGTGTTGCTCAGGGTGGGAGGAGAGTGCTCCCTGCCGGGCGCGGTGGCTCACGCCTGTAATCCCAGCACTTTGGGAGGCCAAGGTAGGCGGATCACGAGGTCAGGAAATCAAAACCATCCTGGCTAACACGGTGAAACCAGTCTCCACTAAAAATGCAAAAAAAAGTAGCCAGGCGTGGTGGTGTTCACCCGTAACCCCAGCTACACGGGAGGCTGAAACAGGCGAATCGCTTGAACCCGGGAGGCGGGGGTTCCAGTGAGCCGAGATCGCGCCACTGCACTCCAGCCTGGTGACAGAGCAAGATTCTGTCTCAAAAAAAAAAAAAAAGAGCGAGTGCTCTGGGAGCTGGAAAGCAGGTTAGTGCAGGGTCAGGGTGACAGTGGGCCCAGTGCTGCAGTTATGGTTTATAGGATTTATGGGGGAGTTCAATAGAGCCCCCAAGGTGGCAGTCAAGGTTGCATGGCCCAGAATGATGGTGCTGCCTGGTCACGTGCAAGGTCCAAAGATGTATTTGTCCTTAGGGTAATGCACCTCTCTGCCTCCAGTCTGGGTGCAAGCTAATGATGCCCCTAGTGTGAAATGTGTAGGTGCCTGGTGCCAGTTTCCCTACAAGGCTGAGTCGTTGGAAGGGTGAGGGGTGGGCTATCGTGCCCCCAGCTGTCTTGTTGGGACCCCACCACCAGCACCACCCTGCATACTTGCTCAGACCCCTGCATCTCCTACAGCTGGGTTCTAGGGAACTGGTCGCGCTGCAGCCGCAGTTGTGATGCGGGCGTGCGCAGCCGCTCGGTTGTGTGCCAGCGCCGCGTCTCGGCCGCAGAGGAGAAGGCGCTGGACGACAGCGCGTGCCCGCAGCCGCGCCCACCGGTGCTGGAGGCTTGTCATGGCCCCACTTGCCCTCCGGAGTGGGCGGCCCTCGACTGGTCTGAGGTCAGCAGTCCCCTTCCTTCACGACCACTTCCTGTGCAGAGAGGGGCGGGGACTGGGATGCCCACGTGGGATGCGCAAGGAGGCGCCTCTGCGCAATCTCCAGGTTAGCGGTCCCCTCTTCACTTCTCACTGGGCAAGTACCCCGCCCACTCCCTGAGCACGAAATGCCCCCTTCCAACTGCAGTGCACCCCCAGCTGTGGCCCAGGCCTCCGCCACCGTGTGGTCCTTTGTAAGAGCGCGGACCATCGCTCCACGCTACCCCCGGCCCACTGCCCGCCCGCTGCCAAGCCGCCGGCCACCATGCGCTGCAACTTGCGCCGCTGCCCCCCGGCCCGCTGGGTGGCAGGCGAGTGGGGTGAGGTATGAGAGCACGCCCCAGGGGGGTGGGGGCCAGGGCAGGGGCTGCAGGGCGGCAGCTCAGTGGTACCTCCTCGCAGTGCTCGTCACAGTGCGGCGTCGGGCAGCAACAGCGCTCAGTGCGCTGCACCAGTCACACGGGCCAGGCGTCCCACGAGTGCACGGAGGCCTTGCGGCCGCCCACCACACAGCAATGTGAGGCCAAGTGCGACAGCCCACCCCCCGGGGACGGCCCTGAAGGTATGTGGGTGGCCAGCCAGGGCACTGCCAGGAGGGTCCTGGCCAGAGCCAGACACAGAGGGCACTGGGAGTCCTGACCATTCTAGAACTTCTGGAACCTCTGAAATGTGTTGCTCTGTCTCTGCCAGGCCATTCATCACCACCCCGTCCCTGAAAGCATTTATTAAGTGCCACTGTATGCTGAAAGGCACCTGACCCATCTGTGCACCCAAACTTGTGTCATTTCCCCAATCACTTAATTAATTAATTTTTTTTTTTAAGGCAGAGTCTTGCTCTGTTGCCCAGGCTGGAGTGCAGTGGTGCAATCTCGGCACACTGCAACCTCTGCCTTCCAGGTCCCAACAATTCTCCTGCTTCAGTCTCCTGAGTGGCTGGGATTACTGGCACCCGCTACCACACCTGGCTAATTTTTTTTTCTTTTTTTTTTTTTTCTAGTAGTGATAGGGTTTCACCATATTGGCCAGGCTGGTCTTGAACTCCTGACCTCGTGATCCACCTGCCTCAATCTCCCAAAGTGCTGGGATTACAGGCATGAGCCACTGTGAGCAACCACCACCCGGTCACTTTCATAACCTGTACCTGTTCATCTCCAGCTGTAGCACAATTTCCTGAATATGTTTTCTTTAAATCAGTTTCCCAACCTCAAGCACTAGTGACATTTTGAGCTAGATGATTGTCATAGGGAGCTGTCCAGTGCATTGTAGGATTTTTTTTTTTTTTTTTTTTTTTTTGAGAGATGGAGTCTTGCTGTTATTCAGGCTGGTCTCCAACTCCTGGGCTCAAGTGATCCTCCCACCTCAGTCCCCCAAAATTCTGGGATGCCAGACATGAGCCACCATGCCAGCCTGTAAGGTGTTTAGTAGCATCCCTGGTTTCTACCCACTGAGTGCCAGTAGCAGCCGTCTCCCAAGTTATGACAACTAAAAATGTCTCTAGATATTGCCTGATGTCCCCTGAGGGACAAAATTGATCACCTCCACTGATTTAAGCATACACATTTTTTTCTGTCTAGATTAATTTATTCATTCATTCATTTATATATTTATTTTTGAGGTTGGACTCACTTTGTCACCCAGTTTGGAGTACAGTAGCACGATCTTGGGTCACTGCAACCTTCACCTCCCAGGCTCAAGCGATCCTCCTGTCAGCCCCCAAGGTCCCCCCAAGAACTACAGGCAAGAACCACTGTGCCTGGTTAATTTTTGTGTTTTTTGATAGAAATGGGGTTTCACCATGTTGCTCAGACTGGCCTCAAACTCCTGGCCTCAAGCAATACACCTGCCTTGGCCTCCCAAAGTGCTAGGATTACAGGCATGAGCCACTGCCCCTGGCCTTAATTTTTTTTTCTTTTTTTGAGACAGTCTTGCTCTATCACTTAGGCTGGAGTGCAGTGGTGCAATCTCAGCTCACTGCAACCTCCATCTCCTGAGTACAAGTGAGTCTCCTAACTCAGCCTCCTGAGTAGCTGGAATGCCATCGTTACCAGCTCGTTTTTGTATTTTTAGTAGAGACAAGGTTTTTCCATATTGGCCAGGCTGGTCTCAAACGCCTGACCTCAGGTGATCTGCCTGCCTAGGCCGCCCAAAGTGCTGGGATTACAGGTGTGAGCCACCGCACTGGGCCCATAAATTTATTTTTGATAGACAATTAATTGCTTACTCTGGAGACTGCAACCAAACCACCTGGGTTCATCCTCTACCTGTGTGTTTTTGTTTCTTTGTTTTGTTTTGTTTCTTTATCTGTCAAGGGATGTAAATGATATATTCACTTGAGGGGTACTCCAGAGGGAGATGCAATGAAATGATCCCCCAAGGGCGAGCGGGCAAGGTGGCTCACACCTGCAATTCCAGCACTTTGGGAGGCTGAGCTGCAAAGACTGCCTGAGCCCAGGAGTTGGAGACCAGCCTGGGCAACATAGTAAGACACCCATAGCTACAAAAAATGAAATTAGGCTGGGCATGGTGGTTCACACCTGTAATCCCAACACTTTGGGAGGCCAAGGCGGGCAGATCACCTGAGGTCAGGAGTTCGAGACCAGCCTGGCCAACATGGCAAAACTCCATCTCTACTAAAAATAAAAAAGTGAGCTGGGTGTGGTTGTGGGCACCTATAATCCCAGCTACTCGGGAGGCTGAGGCAGGAGAATCCCTTGAACCCAAGAGGCAGAGGTTGCAGTGAGCCAAGATGGGTACCACTGCACTCCAGCCTGGGTGACAAAAAAATAAAAAATCCATCTACAGCTCTAAATTTGCCCCAGGTCCTGCCATAAATCACTGGCCGCTAAGTGGAAACCCATATCCATCCAGAGTCATGAACAGACATCATGATCACAAAACACGTCAATGCCCTGAAAATACCCTGACTGACTCACTTAGCTGGGGCTCAAGATCTTCAGCTTATTAAAAAGGAAAACGACTGAGGATTACAGCCCCAAATGGACATTTTTTTTTCCTGGGCCCTATGAAGAGGAACATTGGAAAGGAAAGGGAATATTTTTCTCCTTTTATTTTATTGAGTGGCGTGTGTTTGTGAGACAGGATCTCACTCTGTCACCCAGGCTAGAGTGCAGTGGCACCATCACCACAGGCACATGCCACAATGCCTCACTAACTTTTTCTTTCTTTCTTTCTTTCTTTCTTTCTTTCTTTCTTTCTTTCTTTCTCTTTCTTTCTTTCTTTTGACAGAATCTCACTTTGTCTCGCAGGCTGGAGTTCAGTGGTGAGATCTCGGCTCACTGGGAGATTCTCCTGCCTCAGCCTCCCAAGTAGCTGGTATTACATGACCAGCTAATTTTTGTATTTTAGTAGAGATGGGGTTTTACCACGTTGGCCAGGCTGGTCTCGAACTCCTGACCTGAAGTGATCCACTTGCCTTGACTTCCCAAAGTGCTGGGATTACAGACATGAGCCACCACGCCCAGCCTAATTTTTTCTTTTAATTAGTTTTTGTAGATGCAGGGGTCTCAGTATGTTGCCCAAGATGGTCTCGAACTCCTGGGCTCAAGCAGTCCTCCTACCTTGGCTTCCCGAAGTGCTGGGATTACAGGTGTGAGACACTGTACACAGCCCTTTTCTCATTACTAATGTGTCTGATTTGGCCCCCAACCTTGCACATTCTCTCTTAAGTCCTCAAAACAGCCTAGTGACATGGGTGCTATGTAAGCCCCCTTTGATAGTTGAGGAACTGAGGCACAGAAGCCAGGCATGGTGGCTCACACCTGTAGTCCCAGCTACTCAGGAGGCTGAGGTGGGAGGATCACTTGAGCTCAAGAGTTCAAGATTAGCCTGGGCAAATAGCAAGTTACTATCTGTAACCAAAAAAAAAGTATATTTAAAAAGAATCTAAGACACAGAAAGGCAAAGTCACTGGCCACGAGGCGCTGCACGTCGTGTGTGCAGCCCCGTGGGGAGGGCAGCTGAGAACTGATTTTCCTCCCTTGTCTCACCCCACAGAGTGCAAGGATGTGAACAAGGTCGCCTACTGCCCCCTGGTGCTCAAATTTCAGTTCTGCAGCCGAGCCTACTTCCGCCAGATGTGCTGCAAAACCTGCCAGGGCCACTAGGAGGCGCGCGGCACCCAGAGCCACAGCTTGGGGTTCCCCGACGCTAACCCTGCAGCAGCGGGGCGGGCCAGAGGGAGCCCCAGGGGGGCGAGAGCTGGGAGGGAAGGTTGAGATGGAACCAGAAGTTATTTATTGAGAACCCCTGCAGGGCCCCTGGCTGGGGGATGGAGAGGGTCTGGCTGCCCCCCAGGGCCCCTCTTCAGCGTCTCCCCCTTCCAGTTCACATAGTGAGACCCCCTCCAGGGTGGGTCTGGGGAGGGGAGAGCTGTTCACCCCAGCACCCTTTGCACCCTCCCTTAGGGAGTCCCCAACACTCCCCTCCTCCTTTGATTGGAATATGTACTGTGAAGAGTAAGGGTGGGGAGGGGGTCTGCCGGTGCCCTGCCTGCCAGCACTGCCCTACCCCTCCACTCCGAGCTGGGGGGAGTCTGTGTCTGCTATGGGAGACAGGGGTAGCACCACCTCCCTGACACCCTACCCCTGACCTGACCAGGGAGAGTGTCCACCCCTAACCTCTGCCCTGCCTGCCCCAGGGGCACCTCGACATCCAGGCCACCCCCTCATGGTGCTACAGACCCTGCCCTGGGGCCCACACACTCCTGCCAGGATGCTCTACGTCAATAAAGTTCTGTCTTATGTAGATTTCTGCGAGTGGCGGTGTGTGTGTGTGTCAGTGCATCCAGCAGCCTCCACCCAGGTCTGGAAGGGACCACCCACCCCACTCCCAGGTCTACCCAGAAGCCAAAAAGGGATTTTTTTTTTTTTTTTTTTTTGAGACAAGGTCCCTGTCGCCCAGCTATGCCTATCATAGCTCACTGCAGCCTTGACCTCCTGAGATCAAGCAATCCTCCCACCTCCACCTCCTGAATAGCTGGAACTACAGGCATGCACCACCACAGCTGGCTAATTTTTGCATTGTTTATAGATACACGGTTTCATCATGTCGTCCAGGCTTGTCTCCAACTCCTAGGCTCAAGGCATCCTCCTGCCTTAGCCTCACAAAGTGCTGGGATTACAGGTGTCACCCACCATGCCTGGCCCTCACAGAGGTTCTCTTTTTTTTTTTTTGCAACAGAGTCACAGTCCATCACCAGACTGGAGTGCAGTGGCACGATCTTGGCTCACTGCAACAGCCTCCTGGGTTCAAGTGATTCCCCTGCCTCAGCCTCCCAAGTAGCTGGGATTGCAGATGGATACCACCACACCTGGCTTTTTCGTATTGTAGTAGAGACTGGGTTTCACCATGTTGGCCAGGATGGTCTCGATCTGACCTCGTGACTCACCCTCTTCAGCCTCCTAAAGTGCTGGAATTACAGGCGTAAGCCACAGCGCCCAGTCACAGAGGCTCTGTTAAAGCCACCCTAGTCATCACCTCCCCTGACCTGCCACCCTGGTCACCACACTCCCCGTCACTCCGCAAGCTGCAGCCACGCCAGCCTCCCTGAAATTCTTCAATTGCTCTATGGTCTTCCCATCTCTGGGCCTTTGCTTGAGCTGTTAGCTCGGCCAGGTGCACCCTCCTGCCCCTATTTACCTGTTTTAACTCCAGCTTTCTCATCGGTGTCAGCACAAACATTGCCTCTTCCTAGAAGCCTCCCCTGATGCCCCCAACAAAGTGAGGTTCTCCTACCCATTCATCTTCACTCTAAGTGCCTGGAGACATTGCTGCGAATTGCACGCATCAAGTCTGTCAATTCAGCAAACTCGCTCAGCAGATTCCAAGGGAGATAGGCTCCTTCCCAGCTTTGACCACTAGGGGCGCTGCATCCTGACGTCTTTAAGGAGGATGCGGGTTTATCGCCTTGGACCAAAGATGGATCTGAACCTGGGTCTCGATGGGTGGTGTGGGGAAGTAACCTCTTTGAACTGCCATTTCCGGCTGGGCAGGTTGGCTCACATCTGTAATCCCAGCACTTTGGGAGGCCAAGGTAGGCAGATCACCTGAGGTCGGGAGTTCAAGACCAGCCTGGCCAACATGGAGAAACCTTATCTATACAAAAAATGCAAAACTTTAATCCCAGCTACTTGGGAGGCTGAGGCAGGAGAATCGCTTGAACCTGGGAGGTGGAGGTTGCAGTGAGCTGAGATCGTTCCATTGCACTCCAGCCTGGGCAACAAGAACAAAACTCCATCTCGAAAAAAAAAAAAAAAGAACTGCCATTTCCTCAAATGTCAAGAGGAGCTTCAGGTGGTCGGCTGGTGTCCCAAAGAGCAGCTCATGGCCTAACACGTAGTGGATCCTACATGGACCATGCTCTGCTGGGGGGAACCCGCGTTCCCATTTTACAATGAGAAAAGGGGGTGACTAAGTCATCCAGGAAGTGGCCGAGTTTGTTAAATCCAGATGAACCTGCTTCCTGGTACCCTCCACTCCTGCACACAGATACGTGTGGCTTCTGAGGGTCATCTAAAGAGGGAAGTTGGGCCGGGTGTGGTGGCTCACGCCTGTAATCCCAGCACTTTGGGAGGCCGAGTGGGTAGGATCACCTGAGATCAGGAGTTCAAGATCAGCCTGGCCAACATGGGGAAACTCAGTCTACACTAAAAACACAAAAATTAGCTGGGCATGGTGGTGGATGCCTGTAATCCCAGCTACTCAGGAGGCTGAGACAGGAGAATTGTTTGAACCTGGGAGGTGGAGGTTGTAGTGAGCCAAGATTGCACCACTGCATTCTAGCCTGGTTAAGAGAGCAAGACTCTATCTCCAAAAAAAAAAAAGAAAAGAAAAGAAAAAAATTGGCTGGACACAGGAGCTCACACCTGTAATCCCAACACTTTGGAAGATAGGGTCTTGCTATATTGCCCAGGCTGGTCTCGAACTCCTGGACTCAAGCGATCATCCAACCTCTTGCCCTCCCAAAGTACTGGCATTACAGGCATTGAGCCACCTCTCCTAGAGAGGTGGCTCATGGGCCCCGTCCTTGGTTTTAAGAAGAGACTTGCAGCCAGGCACAGTGGCTCACACTTGTAATCCCGGCACCTTGGGAGGCCAAGGTGGGAGGATCATGAAGTCAGGAGTTCAAGACAAGCCTGGCCAATATCGTGAAACCCCATTTCTACTAAAAATACAAAAATTAGCCGGTCATGGTGGCGTGGGCCTGTAGACCCAGTTACTTGGGAGGCTGAGTGAGGCAGGAGAATTGCTTGAACCTGGAAGCAGAGGTTGCAATGAGCCAAGATCACGCCACTACACTCCAGCCTGGACAACAGAGTGAGAATCTATCTCAAAAAATAAATAAATAATAAGATAAAAAGAGACTTGGAAAGCCCAAATGCTTCCTGAATTGCCCAGAAAAGAGGTGATCAGTCTTTCAGCTAGCTGACCTGAATGTTCCTGCTTCAGCCCTGTCCCTGAGGAGTTGGGGAAGGGGCCTCTGAGGTCCAGCAGTGGCTGCCATCTAGCTCTGACCCCACCCTTCAGGCTCAGAGCCCCACAGAATCAGCTCCCCGCCCCCTCCACACCCAGCTTCCCTCCCCGGTGGCCTCGGCCCCTCCCGCCAAAGGAAGTGAGAAGGGGTTGTTGTAAGAGGAACTGAAGCCAGGAGTCCAGTGAAGGGGCAGAAGCAGGGCCATGCCCAAGCCGCCCCCAAGAGCCCCTTGAACCTGCACCTCCATCACAACCCATTCCAGTGCCTCCAGGAGCCCAGACACCCACCCTCACCATGGTAAGTCCTTCAAGGGTGGGCTCTGAAAGTGCCCAAGATGAGGGGCACCAGCCAGGTACAGGTGTCCTGAGAATGACCATCAGAAATTGGGGTGAGGGGAGGGGCATGGTGGACTTTTGTGGGAGAAGGTTTCTCAGTGTGGCTCAGGTGCCCCCAGCATCCCCTACCAGGAAGCAAACTCCCATCTGAAGGTGGTGGGGATGCCAGGGTGCTAGGCAGAGATCCAAGGAACAGAGCAGGATCTGGAAGACAGACGGTGGCCCAGGGAGAATTACAGAGTCTGCAGGGACAAGGACTTGCCCTTCTTTGCTTGCAAATTAAGGGACTCGTTTCCTAGCCCAGCTCGGTACCTGGTCTCCCTGCCTAGCCTCGGGCCAGTCACTTCCCCACTGGTGGCCTCGGTTCTCACAGATGTCATATTTGGAAGTCCGTCTAGATGCAGAAGTTGTTCTTCAGGGGTCTTTCAGTGGGAACATCCTCAGGGGCTGTGGGTTCTGCCACAGAGTCTTCGACTGAGACGGGAAGCTGTGTCTTTGGTGGTGGGCTGGAGTGACGTCCTTGCTGTGCAGGTGACCGGTGGTCACGCTGCAGCAAAGGTAGGAGAGGCTGAATGCGTCCATACTACCATTGGTGGCCATCCCTTATCCCAAGACAAGGATGGCAGCCAGAGATGCTGCTGCCTGTCCAGTTTGAGGTCTGTTGATGGTGGTAAGGGTGAGAAGATGGTTGTGACCATCAGCCTATATCTAGCAGTGTCATAGCACCATAAGACACAAAGCAAGAGGTGGCCAGGGCTGGCTACAAACCCCACCCCACAGCTCTCTGCTGTGCAGACCACTTCAGCTTTCATTTCTTGTCATTCTATCAGTGAGGATGAGAGCGTGTGGCTGGGACAGCAACCACTGCAGGATTCTTGGCAGGTACAGCTTACCAGGGTGGAGTCAGGGATGTAGGGCCAGAGGCAGAGGTTGGGTTCGTCTGAGAGACAACATCTCCACCTTTCAGAAAGCCAGTGAGGGCTGGGCACAGGGGCTCACACCTGTAATCCCAACACTTTGGGAGGCTGAGGCGGGTGGATCACTTGAGGTCAGGAGTTAGAGACCAGTCTGGTCAACATGGTGAAACCCCATCTCTACTAAAAAATACAAAACAAATTAGTCAGGCATGGTGACACACTCCTGTAATCCCAGCTACTTGGGAGGCTGAGGCCAGAGAATAGTTTGAACCCAGGAGGCGGAGGGTGCAGTGAGCCGAGATCACACCGCTGCACTCCAGCCTGAGTGACTGAGTGACAGAGCAGGCTCCATCTCAGAAAGAAAAAAGAAAGAAAGAAAGAAAGAAAGCCGATGAGAAATTGGCATCTCGGAATTCACACCCAAACCATCAGCTCGAGCTCGGAGATTGGTAAGGGAATTCTTCCAAGATGAGAAGCGAGCCAGGGAGGGGCTCAGGTGCTCAAATGGGCAGGGCTTTGATCAAAAGAACACAGGAAGTGATTTGCTTCTTGAAAGAAAAGCAACCCCTCCCCAAGGAAGCCCTGTGAAATGCTTAGTCAACAGTCTGCTTGGCAGACAAGGTCTGGGAGGGGCCAACCATATCGCAGAGGAAGACAGGAGAGAAAAAGTGGAGGAGTGGTGAATGCCAGGAAGATCGCTGGGGGATTCAGTGGAATAATGTTTGTAAAGTCCTTTACAGCAGAGGTCTCCAACCCCGGGGTCCTGGACTGGTATCGGTCCATGTTCTGTTAGGAATCGGGTCACAGAGCAGAAGATGAGCAGCGAGTGAGCACGCCTGAGCTCCGCCTCCTCTCAGATTCTCATAGCATCTCGGATCGCAAACCCTATTGTGAACTGCGCACACGAGGGATCCAGGCTGCGTGCTCCTTATGAAAATCTAATGCCACTAGCCAGGCATCGTGGCTCACACCTGTAATCCCAGCAGTTTGGGAGGCCAAGGCGGGTGGATCACCTGAGATCA